TGTAAGAAGGTTTATTACATTAAACCTACTAAAGTGATCTTCTAATCAACTTAGGATTACAAAGACTTATTGTTTATTAGGAACTCAAAACCTATCTCGATTAGGCAAGCCTCAAACAGTGTTCAATAAGGATAATGAAGGCTTAAGGGTTCCTAGTTCTACAAGGATTGAAATGGATTAATCCTATAGCATGAAGGATATCTCTAAGTGTTTCTTGATGGGCAAGACACTTAGAGAGATGCATATAAATAGAAGGCTCCCTCCTAGATCCGAATAACACAACACAGCTAAACAGAAATTCACCCATCAGAGTTATAGCTATAAGGATCGGATTCTCAGGAGAAGAACTTCTATTCCTTGCACTGCCAATCTGTTCCAGCATCATCCAGCCCTTGCGCCAACACCATGTCAGAATCAGGTTAGTGTTAAACATGTTATGGCTTTAAGGAATTAACAAAATGGTGATACAAGTTGATTTTAGCATTATATTTGCTCGGACAAAGAAAATTGTTTTCACATCATGGTTTCTTTGATTTTCTAACTTTCAATTGCAATAAATTTGGATGCATATTGTTTGTGCATGTGGGTTGTGTCCCTCTAAACCCTACTGCAACCCATGAACCTAAATGAATTCTATTAGTACCACCACCTGAAGAAACGTCGTTGCAATCACACCCACAACTGCATCCGTAACATATCTGGGGAAAATATAATTTCTAGCGATCTACCTGCGCATAAAAGTGAATAAATAAACGAAAACAACAACATTATCAAAGAACAATTAATTAATTAATTAAACATATTAGTCCACATGGCAAAATATGAATGAGTCCATGCCACATAATGTAGGTGGGTAACCTAGGCTATAGCCCAGGCGACTTTGTCTTTTTTCAGCCTAAACTAATATACCCAGCCCAGCCAATAGACAACCATACACTGCACTCTTTTATTGGTTGTGCGCCAGTTGGGTGCTCCACTGTTATGATCCTATGACTTTCCACTAAGCACATCACACTGAAAAGAACAAAAATATATGGTCACTCGTTTTTTTTTCTTTTTCTTTTTTGGTTGCAATTTTGCACTAGAAATATTAATATATAAGTCAGGGTTAGTTACCTCACCCCTAAACCTTCACCTTTTTTCATTTTCTTTTGGGTACAAAAAGGGCCAAAGGCTAAACCCCCATTTTAAGGTCGAAAATACCCCTATTTTATTTTTTTGATAGAAAATAACATGTCTTTCACTTCACACACCCCTGCCTGCCTGTTGAAAATAAACAGAGATATGTACTAAATGAATTTTATAGGGTAAAGTTCATTATGTCCTCTTGATTATGATATATTTTTTTTGATCAATGAAATTCTCGCGTACTGTCGAGTTTTCTATTTTCTTAATAGGTTTGTGCGTAATGTAAATTTAGCCCACCCCAATTTGAAATCCTGGGTCCATCCTTAATGTAACGGAGAACATGACGGTCAAATTAACTAATGTATGAAAGTGATACAAAAATAAACATTATGTATGGGATTGAGACGAGAAAAAATTTGATGCATTGAAGGCTGAAACTCAGTAAACGTGGACAACCACATTCTCACTATATTTGTATACCACATTCTCATATCACTTTATGTGACAGTTAATGTGGACAATCACATCAATTAAAATTATTTTACTTTTTTTTAATGATTTATTCTAGTATCTCGTAGTAAAATGAAAAGAGTACTGCTAAACGAACCCTAAAATTAACTGAGTACACCCTACTATCAAACTATTTATTGAATTACTAATTTATCCTATTATAAAATGACCAAAAAGAATATATTGAATTGTGAATGAAATGTAATGTTAATAAGTACACCCTACCATACTCACCATATTCAACCATAATTTAGATATCTATCTCAAATGAAAGTTATTTCATGCAATTTCTTAATAAATAAATAAGTTTTTTTAAAAAGCAATAACACAATACAATAGGCATCTTGATTCTTCTATCGTCATATATGGCCAGCATATACATAGTTCATCAACAAATGTAGGCAATTCCCACGAAGTAGTAAAAGAAAATCATGCAATTAGATAAGCTCTCAAAAATTTCAAATCTTACAATCAGAAGAAGAAAATCGTACAATGGTATTCGCCCCTACTGCTCAGAGAACCTTTTAAGCTATTGGGTAACTTGTATTTTTCACTTTCCTATAAGCTATTAGCTATATATATATATATATATATATATATAGTCCCTTTATAGTTTATTCATAAGTTCACAACATAAAATTCTGAAAAATTATAGATTGTTCACTAACCACTGCCGAGTGTTCACCGGTATTCATTGGTGTTATCAACAACATAATATTTAAATTAATGAATGGGTTTAGTGTTGTGTGACATTAGGGTGTGAGATGTATTTTTGATAGTTAAATAGGGTGTGCTTAGTTAATTTTATATTTTAATTTAAATATTAGAATGCAATCAGTTAATTTTAGAGTTCGTTTAGCAATACTCAATGAAAATTACCCAAATATTTAGTACTCACTTCTTCTTCTTACCAGCGAAAAGTAAAAGGAAAAAGAAAAAAGATAAGATAACTATGGCTTCGATGCGATTTCATCGAATGAGGACGTCCACATTATAATTTCCATACGCCCTTTGTTTCCCGTAAAAATTAGATCCGATTCATAGTTGTCACCTCCATGACGACAGCGAGCTTCTCTTCTCTTCTCTGCTGCCCTACACAACTGAAAACGCAATGAATATGCTGGTTTAGGGTTTTCCAATCAAAACTCAAACGAACCCATGAAGCTTCACAAGGACTACTATGGCTACTACTATCCCAACCAGTCTCAGAGAGCCGCTTTAGCTGGCCTTTTGGTGGTCCTCTTTCCGGCCTTCTTCCCAAATCTCTTCGGCCCATTAGGCCGTGCCTCTCCTTCCATCTTCTCAGTAAGTCCCTTCCCAAACAACCATTCTCACAGTTTGATGTTGTTGTTAATGGAAATGCTTAATTCTTAATAAAACTGCAATGGGTATTTTGCAGGAGTGGAATGCTCCAAAGGCCAGACATTTGCATCTTCTAAATCCAGCTTTACTTCTCCAATCTGTTAGTTCCTTCCTTTCTTTTCCTTTGATTTGTGATTTGTTTTCAGAATTGGTGTAAACAATTGATCTATTTACGTATATTAACATATTCTCTTTGAATTTGTTTAGTCTGTTGAGCAACAGAGCAAGCTATGGTCTCCACTGCCCAACCAAGGATGGAAACATTGTCTTGAAGAGCCTAAAAGTCTATCATGTGAGTGCTAAAGATCGGGCCACATTTTATGTGACATTGAATTGATTGTTAGGTGATGAAATTTTATTCATTTTCTTGCAGTGACACCAAAAGGATCTACTGGGTATATTCAGGTGTTCCTTGATGGAGGCTTGAACCAGCAGAAAATGGGGGTGGGTTTTTAAATTTTATAAGGAAATTCTTTCTAAGCAATGTATCTTGTAGAAAATGAAGTTATACAAGAATGCCCGTTTACTTGATTTGATTACTTGTTGTGATACTATAGCCAATTGGGTGTCTAATTTACTGTATTTGGTTCTTCAAAAAAACAAAAACAAAACAGATTTGTGATGCAGTTGCTGTTGCCAAAATTTTGAAAGCCACGTTGGTTGTTCCACACCTTGAAGTTAATCCTGTGTGGCAAGATTCGAGGTATATCGTGAGTATGCTAACCTGGAACCTTTCCTACAATTTATTGTTTCTGTCCAAAGTGGAGCCATTGATTTGAAACCCCATGTGATTTTGCAGTTCCTTTGAGGAAATTTTTGATTTGGATCACTTTATTGAAGTCCTACGCGATGAAGTTTCTATAGTTAAAGACCTGCCTAGTGAATTTTCTTGGAGCACTAGGGAGTATTATGCTACTGGCATTCGGATTACTAGAATAAAAACAGCACCTGTCCATGCTTCTTCTGATTGGTATCTGGAAAATGTCTTGCCCGTATTGCAGAGGTCAGTTATGCATCGAGCCTTTCTTAATTGAGCGTAAAGTTCTTGCTTTTTTTTAATCACTTGAGCCTGTTCTTGCAGTTTTCTGTTGTCTGTGAAGTTGGTATCGTAAACTTTTGTCCCTATGTTGTCTTAGTGTCATATGCTAACTTCACATGCAAAAACAGAAATCTGCAAGATAATCTCTTGTCCCTATGCTGTCTTAGTATCAGATACTCATGTCCATAGTCTGTCTGTCCTTCAATTTAGTCTCCTGCCTGCATGGATTGTGCAGAGGTTTCATTTCTTAAAATTGTGATTGTGATATTGCTTGTGTTAGAAACTTGCATAATCTGTCCCTTTTTTTTTCCTTTTTTTTTTCCCAGTAAATAGCAGTGATAAGTTGTCATAACAAGAAATATTTAGGACTGATAATATTATGATGCTATGGACATAGCTTTGGGAAATAAGTTGTTTGGTTAATGCGTATAGCATATAGTTAGAACTAAGAATTAGTGCATCACAGACGTATTTGTGTCTTTACATGTCAAGCCACCAGCTTTTCAAGTTAGATTATGTATTGCATCTCTAGTTTTAGGATTTTAATGGTTATCCAGTTTTAGACTGAAAATATCCTTTTGGGTTTATTTTCAATTATCTTCTCTGGGTACAACTTGAGTTATCAATCTTATGTATGTGCACAGTGCATATGTCTCGCTAGAATCATGACAATAGGTTTCTTTTTTAAAACTAAATTTGAAATTAATATCTTATTATGATTGGAAGGTGTTTCACTGATGCAGATACGGAGTTGCTGCTATTTCCCCATTTTCTCATCGTTTGACTTTTGAGAACTTACCCAAAAACATCCAGCGCCTCCGTTGTAAAGTCAACTTTCAAGCTTTAGCCTTTGTTCCTCATATCAGGGAATTGGGAGAAACCCTTGTTAATCGTCTCCGCTACCCTCCTAATAGAAACCAAGGCGCAGCAAGTGACTCACAGGACGGAACAAATCAAATTGAGAAACAGGGAGCTGGGAAATTTGTTGTTTTGCATCTTCGCTTTGATAAAGTATGTTCTTAATTTTCTTTAGATCCATGTCATGTTTGATCATGCAATAATTTTTTAAGAATCTTAAAGCTTTTCTGACTATATATGCAAAGTTAGTATTTTCTAATAATCTTTGCCTGCACATACTCATAGGATATGGCTGCTCATTCAGCCTGTGATTTTGGTGGTGGTAAAGCTGAGAAACTCGCCCTTGCAAAATATCGGCAAGTAATTTGGCAGGGTAGGGTTCTAAAATCTCAGTTTACAGATGAGGAGTTGAGAAATCAGGGGCGTTGCCCATTGACTCCTGAAGAGATTGGGTTGCTCCTAGCAGCTTTGGGCTTCAACAATAGTACCCGGCTCTATCTTGCTTCTCACATGGTATTTCTTAAAAGCAGAATGTCTATACTGTTTATTCATGAGCTAACAGCCAGGGGCTTGTTTGTTTGTGGTTCGTTTTTGTTTTTTGTTCTAATAAAAGATAGAGAAGGGAATAACGACGAAAGTTCAAAGAGAGAGATAAAGAGAGGGGAAATATATTGAAAGATTTATAAAACAAAACTTAAAACAGCTTTAGTTAGGTATTCTCCTTCTTCCCTCTCATTTTCATCCCCTCTCTTCTTTCTCTCATAGCTTTCCCTCTTTCTCTTCAATTAAAACAAAAGCAAACACATTGACAAATAAGCCCCAAGTGTTTCATGTGATTTCTTAGGTTCCTTTTCAGTAAATGTTGATACTGTGTGTTCAGTTTTGGGTTTAAATTGGATAAAGAAGTCACTATTTTCCTTGTTCAGGTTTATGGCGGAGAAGCAAGGATCTCAACTTTGAGAAGATTATTTCCACTAATGGAAGACAAGAAGAGTCTTGCCTCTGCAGAGGAAAGGGCCAAAGTTGAAGGCAAGGCTTCTCTTTTAGCCGCAGTTGACTATTATGTGAGCATGCAAAGTGACATCTTCATCTCTGCTTCTCCCGGGAATATGCACAATGCACTGGTAAGAGTATCAAGTTCAATACTCGGTAGATATGTCTCCTTTAAGATGGGGGAATAAACCAGATTATCTACTTCATCAAATCTGTGGTTGTAGTGAAATATAGTGAATATAGGAATTCCCTAAATAGCCTATTATTATAAAATCAGGTATTTCAGCAGAAGAATTATTTCCTTGAAATTTTGTGAAAATTCTAAGTGGACAGGATTAAAATTTGTATCCTCAGGTCAGTCATCGCGCTTACATGAACTTGAAGACTATTAGACCAAGCATGTCATTGTTGGGAAAGCTTTTCGTGAATAAGAGCATGGAATGGTCAGAATTCCAACATGCTGTTCTGGATGGGCATAAAAGTAGACAAGGGCAGATTAGGTTGAGGAAGGAGAAGCAGTCCATATATACATATCCTGCTCCTGATTGCATGTGTCGAGCTTAATTGAAATCAATTTCGGAGGCTGTGGTTTTGCTTTGAACGTCTGTCATTATTGGCAAGTAATTTTTGTAGGTCAGCTACTTATGAGTATTGGAGTTATCCAGTCTCATTGCTGTATAGGCTTCATTTGAGCTCGTAAGTGTATAGTCTGCTTTCAACGCATATCAGGACAAGCATTGATTCTCACCAACAGAATGACAAACCCACACTTATCCTCTTTTTCATTTTTGGTCACAATGCAAGGTAATATGATGAATTTAAGCTTGGGGTAATCCCAAAGTGCTTGACTATTTCAGTTTAATATGGTGAATTTAAGCTTCAAGCATTTAATCCGGGCTGTTGTATGCCTCTTCTTCTCCCTCCCCCCTTCAAAGAATTTTTACCTCCTTAGCAACCAAAAGAAAAATGCAATACTTATGAGGCCTCTGCGTGACATAAACCGACTCTCATAGGCCTCGTTTGGTTCACGGAAAGGATTTGATGGGAAATAATTTCTCGTGTCTTTTCCGAATGTATAGGAAATGAAAAATTCATTTTCCATGTTTGATTTGCCTGGGAATGTAAAAATTAAAAAAAAAAAAAATTTGTTTAATTTTTAAATTATACACATTAGATAAAATTAAAAAATGGTACTGATTTTCCCACTCCTTTTTTATCCACTTACACTCCATTTTCTTTAAAATTATATGTTTTCACTTCTCTTTTGTTCACTTACACTCCCTTTTATCTTATAATAAAAAGTATTAAAAAACAAAAAAAAGTGTATGTGGATAAATGGGGAGTGAGAAAATCACCACCCTTAAATAAAAAGAAAAAGAATGCATTTAATGATATATCGTAATTTTAAATTGTTAATGGGGACAAAATGTTATGGAAAAGGTGCATTTAATTAGGGGTGGGTATGGGTTTGGTTGGGTCGATTTTAGTCCCAACTTGTAACACAACCCAATATATAGCGGTTTATGATTTCTTGAATTCAAAACCCGTTCATTATTATAGACCAACTGAACACAATCCAAACTTTTTGTGATCGGGTTGGGCGGTTCAGTTAGGTTAACTCAAAATTAAGCATATTTTTAAGTTTTGATTTCAACTCATAACCCAACCTATACATAGCGGTTTATGATTTTTTGAACCAAAAACCCACTCATTTTTAAGCCACCCAACCAACTATGATCGAGTTAAGAGGTTCAATTGGGTTGACTTGAAATTGTGCCCACCCCTACATTTAATGTTGGCCTAAGTTTTCCATGAGAAGGAAAAATGAAACTCAAGGGGGGTGGAGGGTTTCATTTTCCCTCATATTTTTCCTATTTTCCCATGTACAAGTAAACCATGAAACTCAAGGGGGGTGGAGGGTTTCATTTTCCCTCATATTTTTCCTATTTTCCCACGTACAAGTAAACCATTTTCCATGCCTGGACTTACCAAACATGAAAGATTCCCATTCTCAATCCCCATTTCCCACTAACCAAAGCAAAGGCCATTCTGCTTGGATGAGGCCACAATAATTACACGTTTTAACATATGACATCTAAAGAATGCTCAACAATGAAACGATCTTTCCAATTCAAGTAAAGAGGCGAAATTTGCAAACGCACATCAAACATATGCGTTAATACGTTTTGTACACCTCCCTTTTCTTTTCTTTTTTTGAGCTTTTCAGTTTTCACTTTCAGGGATGGGATGGGATGGGATGAGAGAAACCGGTCGTTTCAGATTGACCCACAAATTTCCATTTCGACAAATTATCAAGCAATCGTAGAAGACAATGTAATGCCAGCTTCAAAAACTCAGCGGCATGCATTTTTACACGTCAATCAATAACTGTGTTACACTATAACGACTAACGACATAGCCTTCATGGTCCGGCTATTCAGTTTGCATGGCTCTAGGAACTGCAGGCAATTAACCATCTTTCACGTCTGTGCCAACAGGAGGAGACCCTCCACCATTTCGGCGGGCAGTGAGTTCTTTTGATTCTGCAGAAGGAGATGGAGCCATGTCTTCTTCCTCAATTGGAAGTGTTCGCTTTGAGCCTTCCAAAGCAACACCAAGGATAATATTCTCTTCTAAGGGAGGCCTAGCTATGGATGGTGATAAAACAGGTTTCTCACCATCATGCTTTGCCTGTAAAGGTGCCAGAGGAACATCTGCTTTTTCGCTACCAGTCTCAGGTGAAGTAACAAGGGACTTCTTAGACATCACCTTTGGTGGAGATGCATCTTTGGAAGCATTCAGATTTGCTTCGAACTGAACCATCAGATGCTGAATTCCGTGTTTGGGGTTCAGATGTTGGCATTTCTGAGGTCTTGGAGTTTGTGCTTGAGTTGGAACTTGAAGTTGCTGCAACTTTATTGTCAGTTTGTGCATGAGTTAGTGTTGCCCCAGCTTTAGCATCTGATCCCTTGGAGTCAGATGTTGAGGAAGCTTCAGCCTGGGCCTGTTTGTCTCCATTTGTATGTGTTGGGCGACTTGAAGCTTTACTTTTGTCATCACTACTGATTTTATAAGATGGTTCAATAAGTAGATATGGACGATTATTGGATGCCCTAGAACGAGTGAACATGGTGTCAGCAAATGGCACATTTTCCAAGTCAGCCTCACTGTAATATTTCTGGACTGTACGAATGGGTGTGGCAAGCCGGGCACGATGATGGCTGACAACTCTGAGAAGATCCAAAAGTATTGCCTCCTGTTTTATTTCATCAATAGAGTTTATCCGAGATAAATATTCAACCGTTTCTCAAAGACTATAATTAACATTGAGAAAGTAAACAGAATTGTGATATCCATAAACAACTACAAAGTTCAGGCATACAGACACTTGGAAACCTCAGTAATAGTAAACAACACAAATTATACAATCCACATCAAAAGTCTGGTATAAAAAAGGTAAAACTGATTCTTTGAGTAACTTGTGAACCAATCTTAAAATGGCAATCAGTCTTTATAAATTGCTCAATTTTTCCATCCAATGAAAAAGGAAATGCCAAGAAAAGACAAAATTATCTTGTTCAACATGAACAATCTATAAGCCAGACTAAAGGTTCATCAAGAAACAATGTATTGGAAAGGAAGAGTGAAGAATAGAATATCCAAACAAGGTTATGGCATTACCATTATACAAAATAAATCTGAGCATTAAGTCCCAACAATCATGCAACTGTAATCAATATGGCAGAGAACTAGAGTGAGTGAGAGTGACTTTTACATTTACTATATGCAGCATCTCTGGAAAACTTATATTGGCATCTAAGTCAAAGATGATCAAAATTTTATACTATTTTCAGAATCTATTATATCATCTTGCAGGTTACATGATTTCATAAAGCTTATACTAATAATGTAGTCTTACCTTAACACAGAGATACTCCTCAAAATGAGATGTTTTAACAAAGCAGGATACCAAAATCTGTGACAAAAATAGACCGCTTATGAGAACAACCATTCAATACAAAATTTAATAGAAAGGAAGAAGGAAACAAAAAAGAGGGACGTATTATATGGAGATTGTATATCCATATGAAAATAAAAAATGAGTTTCTTCATTCTATGAAGACCTTGTGAATGAAAGTGAAGAATTGCGAGACCATAAAAACATACACAACAGTTTCCATCATGTATTTCGAAAGTAAAAAAAACTTATTACTTTTAAAGTAATAGAATGTTTTTACAAGGGACTTGAAGAAGGTTTTTCTTAAAATTTGTTTGCCAAATGGAACATCTATTGAAACATTATAAACCTACTTATAAAAATGTAATAATACTAACTTCAAAAGTGAAAGCACAAAAGCCATACCATAAGGGCCTGATTATCTGGATTAATATTGTCCAGAAAAACTCTCCTATGCAACCTTTGCTGCTCTACTTGAGAATTTTTGGCCAAAACCTTGCGCATATCAGCTACAATAGTCTGCAGATAGTAAGGGATAAACCAGGTTCTCATATGAAGTGATATGAAAAAACACAAAGTCCTTGGAGCACCAGTTTCGCAAGCCAGTGAACTGAAATTTCTACTCACGTTAATTTTAATGACATCCAAGTGACTTATGGCTAGGTGGGTCTTAATGCGCCAATGAGTCTTCTGGCTAAGATTCCTGACAACGTTTACAGTGAACTTGTGATTTGGAATGTGAACTGCTTCGCGATCATCGCCTCTTATAATTGTTGGTGACCACCAACCCACATGCTGGTACAATAACAAATTTATCAACAAAAAAATAAAATAAAACAGTCCATATTGCTTATAAAAAATTCAATTCCAGTATTTGTTTTGCAAAAGGAACCAAATTGTTAAAGCCCTATTATGTTTAAGGTGGAAGCCATCAAAGGTATTCATGGGTAGGCATTATGTTTTTTCCTTCTAACCGCTGTTGCACTTGATGTATTAGCAAAGATATATACAAACCTCAACAGTACCAGAAACTTCATAGCCTTCAATCTTAGTCTGAATCCATTCATTAACAACAAATGGTCGTGTGGCATGGATCATTACACTTGAAAGGAAGTTTGTGAATATCTGAGTTCAGACAATATTAAGGTACATGTAGTCAGAAAACCTTAAAGGAAATTATATGTCTTAACAGAATTTGAAAGTATACACATGGACAATCAGAATTTGTTATGATCAATAAACTGCAGCCTTTTCAATTTACAATATCACATGAAGAAAGATCTGTACCTCGCGACCAGCAAGGGTGAGCAATACTGTGCCAAGACCACCAGCTGTTAGCCATTTCTGGGTTGAGAATCCCAGCAGCTCCATGAACAATGATACTGCAGCAACCCAAACTGCAGAATAAACAGCCTTGCCAGCGAAATTGAAGCCCATCTGCCCCAACAAGAGACAATTATGTAAGGATGCAATAATCTTATATGCTACAAGTGCCCTCATGACAGCTACATTATTGCATAATGACATAATATCTCACAATAACAGAAACTTGGTTGGAAAAGGAAAACTATGATACAATCTATTTCAATGAGGTCAAAAGTAGCTAACGTAGATGAGGCCCATTTCATTGAAACATTAATCAGGACTGGTTATATTTAGTTTATTTTATTTTAATTATTTGCATGAGTACCAATGACAATTTTATAACACAAGTATAAAGGCGAAAGAATGCATACAAAGTAATGAAAATATAATATGTGAACTAGTAACAGAAACATACATTTCTCGAATCACTTGGGTCACTTGTCTCCGTAAAGAACTTTTGTGCTTGTTGATTCAAGCTGCAAAGAAAAAGTGTAACAATAGAAAATCAAAATTTCAACCCCAATGCAGTGACTACAGGAAAATGTATTTAAACAGTGATTACAGGACACGTGAGGGCAAAAAGAAAATCATATGTGCATAGAGAGCATAGCACCAAAAGGAAAAACTACACCGAAAAAATGAAATGAACTACGTCCTGGCAGAAGAAATAAACTTGTTCAAACCAGGCATTTGGGCACTCTCAACATTCAAATTACTTCTAACTAACATAAGAAGTTGCTTGACAAGTTCTGAAATGAATAAATCTAAAAATTCAATTCATTACAGACCAATCTATTAGTTGACCAACAGAATAATGAAATAAATATCTTAGGGCATAATAGCACTAGAGCTACACTCACCTTGACAAACAATAGGCAAATGCCAGCACTGTTGATAATGATTGTACAAAATTTATAAGACGTTGCTTGACAGCCTGGCTAGCTTCTGAAGGTAGGACTACAGGATCTAATGCTCTGAAATAAACCTTGCAGCAGTTAGTGCAGATAAAATGGCTGGAAACAAGTTTCCAGTTAAGGAAAATAGTGACTCTAAAATCATTTTCATTCCCTGACTTGTAATTTGAATCTAACTTCTTGTAATGTAGAAGTAAACCTGCACATAAGTGTTGCTCCAATCCAGAGAAGCAAGGGCCGGAGGTAAGAATTCATGACATAGTGCGACCTACTTTTATTCCAAGTACTATCGTTCCGCTGCAGATAATCAACATGGAAGAATTAATCAGCTCAATAACATAATCAAACCATGTCTAAAGGCAAGGAGTGGCAGAAGAATAACAAATTATATACTTGAAGAAATATAATCCTGCTGAGACGCAAAAGTGGCCCAAGACCCCAAACAGCAAAAGCTATGATAGCAACTGCTGGGATCAATTTAAGTAAAACAGGGCTTCCACGTAAAGCATCATAAGACCTGCATAATAAGTTAAAAACATAAATTTCTTTAGATACCAAACATTTATATAATAATGAGAGAGAAAACATGATGAAGCAATTGCCCCCCAATACATGGAAAGGAATACCCAAGAAAAAGAACACAACTTATATGCCGGCGGTGCAGCTGTCTAAGGAAGAAAAAAAAACCTAGTAATTCAAAAGGGAACGCATATACCTACCTTGTTAAAACTACAGCAGCAGATTTCAGAAGGGGAGCCCCATTTCCTCCACCTGGTACTAAAACAGATCTGCACAAGAAAACATTGCATCTGGAAGATACTGGACCTATTGGGCCACGAATACTGCTTAAAAGATTGAGACTGCAGGCACCCTGTCGCTGACAATTAAAAAGTAAATAAATAAATAAATCCATGAGCTCAGATCTACATAATAACAACCTCATCAGGTTACACACACACACATCCAGAGCATATTGTAATATGCTACACTAGAACCATGAACCTGACAAAAACACGAAAACAATGCCATAGAGGGAAACGGAAATAAACAATTAACAAAACAGAAACCCAGAAACCCAGTGACAATTCTGTATAAGAACTCATACCAAATCATAGACCAGCAATTGAAAAAAATGAAAATAAAATAAAGCATAAAAGTGAAGCCATGAAACCATACCAAAACATGTGGCGGAAAATTGATTCCGACCATATGTACTCGACCCTTTCCTACAAGGCACTGTGAAATTAAAAAAAACAAAAAACAAAAAACAAAAAAAAAACAAAGAATTCAATTAGTACTCCAGAAAAAGTACACTCTTGGGCAAGAAGATTTTATGAAAAAGACTACAAAGAAATCTCACATACAGCATCGGGATTATGGCATCGACGATTACTGTGACTTCTCCATTCATATAACAACCGCACAGAAGCAGTATGAGGCATGGTTGATTGATTCTCAAACTCAAACTGAAGCAAAGCTGCAACTTTGTGCACAATATGGTAATGCCGTTGAAAATCAGATTACCCTTTTGAACCTAATAACACACTGTCTACAAATTATGGGTCTCAGACTATATGCACCAAATATGTACAGCACTTGTCACACTAAAACTTCAAATTCTCAGTTCATATTGAAATCTGTATACAAACAAACAAATAAATAAATCGATTTATAACTAACAATTAAAGCAGCCGAACGATTTTTAGATAACTTACTTTAAAAAAATTACGCTTTTTATGAAGAAAACCCATCATGAAAATAAAATATTTATAAATAAAAAAATTATTATGCAAAAAAAAAAAATTTTAATTAAAATAATATGAAAAACTGAGAAATAAATACGGCTTTAGTTGAACAAGGTCAGAGGAACAATATTTTTCAAAATTAAAAATTACAAGATATTCTGATTTCCACGGAAAGTATTGAGTATTACCTAATGGAGCAAAGCAGAGGATAAATTCCCAAACTCTTTCACTGAAACTTTCTTGTAGCGGGTTTGATAGAGAGAGAGAGAGAGGGAGCTGGGGGCACTGTGAGGAAGGCAAGCCCAAAATGGCTGGGTGGATGCTAAGATACGCCGGTTGATAAACTCTACGCGGCTTCGCCTGGTAGCGTGGTCAAATCAAAGTGCAGCGTTTTGGATTTTATTTCGTTACGTGGACCCGCGAAATTACCTTTCGGTTTTTCACGGTGGGATTTATGTGGCGCATAGAGGTAAGGTGCACGGTCTGCATAATTATTTAGCATCGGTTTCCTCCTTGCCAGCATTGCTTGGATTGGTCTCGATCGATGATATTTATGCAGGCGGGTTGTTCTCAGGTGGGTCGGGTCAGGTTGGGTCGAGTTTGATTGATACACGCGATAATAGTCTCACACATTTGAACATGAGACTACTGATTTGCAAACTAATGTTATTTTCCACTGGGGCAGACCTCGTTGGCAAATTTGACTTACTGAGATAGTTTTTCAATGAAATGCAACTTCTATGAATAATGATTTGATCATACAAAATAAGATAATGATTATGAAATTTTGTGTTTTCATTTTATTTTATAATACTTTTGTTAAATATGTGTTATTAATGTGTTTGCTTTAGGACTCAGGTTCCGTTTGGTTCATGGGAAAGGAGGCTTGAGAATGGAAATTCAATTATTTTTCCATGTTTGGTAAGTCCAGACATGAGAAATGGTTGTCTGGCACATAGAAAAGTAGGAGGGAAAGTGAAGCCCTCATTTTAACTTGGGTTTTGTTTTCCCCCCTCATGAGAAAGTTTGGAAAAATGAGCCAACATTCAATGCACAATTTTCATTACTATTTTGTCTCTATGAACAATTTAAAATTAAAACATATCATTAAATGCATTCTTTTTTTATTTGATTTAATATGGATATAATTAGAATACAAACTTTGTTTTCCATTCCTATTCAAAACAAACATGGGAAATGAAACAAAGTGAAATCTTCCGGTTACTTTCCCGACATTACAAAACGTGGAAAATGAATCTTTCATTCCCATTCATTGGGAAATAACATGGGAATTGATTTCCTCTCAAATCCATTCCGTGAACTAAACGGGGCCTTATGGGTTACATTATGAACATGCATTTTTGAAGAGGCTTGTTACAATCTGCCTAGTTAATGTGGAATGGAAGGAGGCACTTGATTGTTACATTAAATGATAGGAGTGGACCGAAATATTCTCACACAAGGAGAATGTGTTCAAAACGTAACAGAATTTAAAGGAATTTAACATGTTAGGATATGAAAACTACATGGATAAAATTGAAACTATTGGCACAAGAGTAGTAAAACTAACAAACCACATGAACGAAAAGTGACTTTTTTCCTAATAAGATTTTATTATACTTCCAATAAAAATACTCATGAACATAAGTGTTACGTGCATAAACACTCCTAAACGGTCATATAATACTTTGAGATATTGAAAAAATGCAAGATTCGCACATTTTTTATGAGCAGTATATAAAAGTTCAAGCTGAATCGGTGGGCTTTATTTTTCATTATTGTTTTTGTGGTAATTGAATTTGAATAAACAAAAATGAGCTGACCAAAGATACCTTGAATTACTAAAGGGGTGTTAGTTGGATTGACATAGACTTTTGATGTGCTCCTAAGTGGTCATGTGGTTATGAGGTCATGAGTTCAAGTCTCCATGATATCCGTACGTGTGAGTTTCCCCCCCCTCCCCTTTTTAACTTTGGTAATTAAAAAAAAGGTAATTACAATTTTGGTCACTGTGGTTAGAGTCGAATCTAATTTTGGTTACCTAGCCTTCAATTTTTCGATTTTGATCATCACACTTTGCATCGTCAGCAAATCAAGTCTAATTGAGGTATTTTATCAATTTCAACGCACGTGATACTTCTCTATGGGCAATATTGCCCTTTCACCCGAAAACCTACGGTGCCCGCTCGCTCTCTCTCTCTCTCTCTCTCTCTCTCTCTCAAAATCTTCAAAGCACCCCTACCTATTGGACTTGATTTGCAATAAGTCCTCTCAGTCAATCCCCATAAAAAGCGCTTTCCCTCTTCTTTCCTCACACCCCACATCCCTAATTCAAGATTTTTTTTTTTTTAGTAAAAAAAACTAAGATTCAAGAATTAAAGTTGGGGGTTTTTGCATCAATGATAAGGTGCCTGCACTTGTGAAACCCAAAAGATATTTGAGATTGGTAGTGCTGATATCCTCCTTGGTCTTGAGAACAAGCCGAGCTTGTTCATCATTTCATCGCACTTCTTCAAAGCCTTGCATCCCTTCCTCCCCACATTCTAATACCCAAACGACCACAAAAACAATCGAATCACTCAAATCAATTACACAAGAAAAAGTTGGCCTTATCACCGAATCCACCAAGACCCATCCTGTCGTCGAATTTGAAATCTAGGCTCGTCTGTTTAATACGCACATGCAATTGAGATCAAGCATTTATTTTCACCTCAAACAAAAATAGAAATTTCTTGTATTTTTCTCCAATTCGCCTCCTTTAAGCTCAAACTTTGTAAAAACCTAATAGCACCCCCTCTCTCTAAACAGAAGATAATTTTTTTCTCCCAACCTTAGCCTTATTTGTACCATGTCTAACCTCCCATTCACGTCGTGACACGTGGAACACCCTCAAAGCCGAGATCAGCTCAACCGGGCCATACCGAATGTTATTTCGGCACGTTGTACCGATTCAGGGGGTCGATTACGCACCATCAGTCCCTTCACTAACCTTCGGCAAGGTCTGTCGAGCGACCAACCATCACATCAATCCAATTCTGTCAGATTACCTCAAAACTTCTGCCGGAACTTGTCAGAGCACGTGTCGATCTCCAAAGACACTCCCACGAGTCCCACATCGAAACTAAGTGCTAAGAGCATCACAAATGCTCTCTATAAATAGAGCCCCTTGGCCCAGCCAAGTGGTAAGACTTTCTGACTGGACTAAGTGCTTCCACTGTCAATAGAATCGCTTTTAGTTACTAACTTTGGCATGGGAATGCCTTCGGCAGGTACCACACCGGTATCCCCTCCTCAGTTCGGATCCAGCCCCTGCTCAAACCTTCGGACATCACGGAAGAAAGTCACTCCAATCCTCAACCATCAGCACACTTGTAAGTTAGCCTAAACTCTTATATGTTCAGATTTAGCGCGAACAAGCCCCCTTTCTTCAGTGCCGCTTAGAGGGGAAGTAGTCACTGACCCTCCTCCCCTCTCTCCCCATAGCGCCCCCCTGCCTCATTTCTCTCTCTCTTCTCTTTTTATGTTCTCTCCCTCCTATTTTTTTCTGGTTTTGAAACTGACGGAATACCCTAATTGAACTTGATTATTGACGATGCAAAATGTGATGACCAAAATCAGAAAATTGAAAGTTGGGTGACCAAAATTAAATTCAACCATAACCCCACTGGCCAAAATTGTAATTACTCAAAAAAATCTAAAATCTAAAATTTATCTTTTACTATTCGGATTAGAGGTCGCAGACCATACATTTTGATGGTGAATGGACTCGAGCAATCCTGGTCAACGACTTGCGTCAAAGAGAAGTTTAGACGGTGGTCCATAGAAAGCCACCAACGGAGCACGCCACACCTTATCATTTTTTCCATGAATAGTGATGATCAAACACGTTTATGGTGTGCTGAGGTTGTTTGCCAATTATTTTGGATAAGCTTTTTTTTATATACACTTTTTTTTTTTGCGGTATGGATAGGACCAAATTTCATAACCCTTTTCGCAACTTCAGAAATTGATATTACCATAATACCCTTCTGCCACTTAATCCATCAAGAGTTCCTACGTCTGAATGCGAAAAGTCTTTTCTCACTCTTTCTATAACCTTTGCCAATTAATCCTTACTTATAAATGAAAGTCCACTTTGACCAAAACAAAAACAAAAACAAAAACCTTTGCCAATTAATCCCATTGGAAGCTGCCTTTGTTTCGGTTTTCCATCCACAGCGGCGGAGGCTAATCAATTTTCAATTTTAGACCTTTAGAATTTTGCATTCCTTTGTTTCATTGCAATTTGTTTGTAAGAGTATCAGCAATGGTTGCTCAACAGTTCATTTTAGTTTAGTTTAATAGTTCAATTTGTTGAACTTTTTTTTGCAGCTATTGAACATAATTGCACCTTCACTTGCAATGACGCACTTCAATAGCTTACAAATTAAAAACTATATTTAAAAAGGGCAATGATTTCTCCAATCATATTTTATCCACTTACACTCCTTTTTTAGTTATAAAAAAGGAGTGTAAGTGGATACAATAGGAGAAAAAGGAATGGGGAAATCACCACTCTTTAAAAAATATATATATTTAAATGATTGAATAAAATAAAATGAATAAAGTTAATTACGATAATAATTATATAATTAAAATTGTTTCAAATAGATCTTTAAAAAGAGACCTATTTTGAATATATATAAATAAAAAATTGTGAAAATCGACAATACTTTTGGTGAATACGAACCCAAAGATCATCTAAGTACCTACGATCGGATCTTGCAAAATTTCATCATAGGTTGTGCACAGTAATTTTTGTTGCTCCCTGGTAAAATGAGTTCCCTTTTTTTGGTTGCTCATTTTTTTATTGAAAAACAAAATTTCAACATAAACAATTTTTTTTGTGGGTGTAGGAAATTGTGAGAGAGTTGTTTTCTACATTGTGTTTATAGGTAAATAACTAGCCATTTGAAAAGGGAACTAGCCATTTGTATTTTTGAAAAGTGAAATAAATTAGCAATAGTATATATAATTAGCTATCCTTTTTTCTGAAAAGTGAAACAAATCAATATTGGCTAGTATATATATTAATTATATATATTTTTTTAACAGTGAAATAAATTAGAAACGACTCGTTGCTTTGAAAAAATAAAAGTAACGGCTAGCCTACACTAATTAAATGTAATGGAAAAATTTTAAAGTAATGTTTTACATGTGTCAATAAGAGAGAGGCTATAGAGTTATTATGGTGGGCCAGCTTATTGAAATGATTTTCATTTCAGAGTTCATTTTAGTGACTTCTCAAATGAACTATTGATCTCTGAAATGAAATATTAATCTATGAAATAAACTGAACTTTACTACTACAAGTCAAAAGTTCAATTTATTGAAATAAAATTGAAATGACCCCCACCATTTATGAGCTATCTAAAACTAGTGAATTAGATGTAAGAAAAATGGCTAAATGAGCACATGTGCACATTGATAGCTATACTGTGTATGGACGAAGCA